GATCGACTATTCTGCGCACCAGCCGGTATGGGCAATGGCAAGCGAACGTGCGATCGCAGCACTTCGGAAATGATTGAGAATATCTGAAAAGTATAAGTATTGATCGGAGCAGCGAATTGTCCTGAATGGCTGGAGCGATGGTTTAATTGGTTTGGAAGTTACCTGATCATTGTACACGGTAAAGTCATCGCTGATATTCACGATCTCCGATTTCAGGCGAAAAAGGACTGTTAGATGACTGCTAAAATATAATTTTTAATTTTTGCAGGATGCTAGAATGTATACTGTATTTTCGAATGGCGACAAGCCACACATTCAGTACCACTGATAACTGTCTCGCGTCCGCGCGCGTCTAATGCCAAGGTTCTCAGGCCAGACATGTTGAGAAATGAATTGCAAAAAAGTCACCTGTGTAGGATTGAAACGCTGTAGTTTTTTGATAGAAGTCTTTCGGTACCGTCTTGAAAAGTCAATAACATAGCCAGCATGATGTTAGCGGTATTCAAAGCTAAATCGATGAATCAATGAAATAATCGATAATATTGATTCGCTCCCAACAATATTGCGTGGACATTTCGGTCACTTACTACCTTCCATATTTTTCACTGACATTGTTGCCGTTTGACAGGCTACGTGCACCTCTTCATCGTCAGCTGTGATATTTCTGAAATGAAAGGTACTATGGCAAGAGGTAACGGTCTTTATATTGATCACTACATTCTGCGGGGATCGCGCCGTGCACTCTGTTCTTCAAGCACGTTCGGCAGCGGCTTGCTCAGGTGGCCGACATCTCGTGTTCTACTTCTCGAATGTGTTGCGGTGATTGGAAAGAAAGAAATCAGAATAGGTCACTTCATCCTTCCGATTGATATGGGAATAAAAAGCACTTGAAATATTCAAATGAGCCGCGAAGCGGTCGCGTTGCGTTGCGATCAGAGCGTTATCTCATGTCGCTGATACGAGAATGTGATGTCATACCAGTTAGTGGCCAAGCTTGCCTAGGGGGCAGGGTGAATATCGGTCGAGGATTCCTCAACGGCTTGTCGAGGATTTTTGCCTGATCAGTTACGCTCTCCGCGCGGACATTCACACTCGCCATGCGCGAGCCGTCTGTGCTCTCCGCGCGACGTTCACTCTCGGCACTACTCTCGCACAGTAGAGAGCCATGGTCGAGGAATTCCTCGACCGTTATTCACCCTGCTAGGGGAGGGCTATTTCAAAAATGCTCTTATGACTTACCCGTCCAGATACCCTCGACTGCATACTGACTGCATGGTTTCCGACAGTAGTGCCTCGTGGATATGGTAGATGACATGATGGTTGGATTCAATTGGTGTTGGAGTAAATTTGACTCCTTGATGATTTATGGACGTGATACCTTGGTGGTAAGTTCGAACTGCACCATACGGTAACAATAGCGGCTGGCCAACCAGTAGATAGCTCATGGTTGTAGCTGAATATGGTAGCGATGGAATCAAAAAACCAAACTCGTCATAAAAACGTACCTTCATTAATGGGCATCACGAGATCAAGTCCTGCCAATGATTTACGTATTTTTGTGTCTAATACCTCAACAAGGCTATCGCAGAGAATTCCTTCCAGATCTTCTCTGAATAATTAATTCACATTGGGTTCGTAATAACCAGAGGATCGGCAACATTTTGACTTGGATAACTTTTTTATATGGACTTAGGTATTGCTTAAACATCGGAGAATTTTTGATTGGAGTTTTATGGTTTATGGGTAGAGGAGACAATAGTCAATTTGGTGGGCAAGTAGTTTGGCTGACGTAAATCCAAAATTTCAACAGAAAATGAGGTTGAGGTGGGGTGGGGGGGGAGGGGAGGATGCAGGCAACGCTGCGAAAAAATTTCAAGGAATTTCAGCGGCCTCCGTTGCATGGGCCTCGTATAACTCCCTCTCCCCGCACATGGATTAGCAGCCACCGCATTGTACCGGCCGCTTCCCACTACTGTCCCCATAGTAATCATATTGTATCTCCAGTTCCGCCCTACTTTTCCTCCAATAGCCCCTCCCCCTTCTTATCGATGCAGCGTTAGGGGGCATGTCCAATGAAGGACATGCAGAGTAAACTACTACGATTTTCTCCACTTCGCCCATCGTTGCCGAAGTTTCGATCAAAAATGTCCGAAAACTCGTCAAAAAAGCGAGATCACCTCTCTACCTCCATCACTCACATAAGACGCTACCTAACATCTGTTCCTCAGAACTCAGCGCTTGAAAATCCGTGCCCCCTCTCCCTCCCCCACCCCTCCCGGCAGCACAAGTATTCAGTACGTCTCGTTAGAAATTGCCAACTGACGTTCAACTCTAGAGTTAAGCGATTCGCTCGTGCCAATGAAAGGCTAGGTGAGTGTTATTACTTCTGAAGATGTTTAAAGGGATTTTTGAAGTGCTGGACGCTCTATATTAAAATGACCCAGCTCATTTGAATAGTCTGCACGTCTTAGATCCCCTTGGTGCTTTCAGCAGTGTACGTGATACGTTATCCGAACCGCGTCGCAAAGCTTTTTTTTGGAGGAAAGACAGGGGAGAGACGACAAAAACCCTTCCTCATACATGAAAGTAAAACAGGTTCGGAGCGAGCCGCCTTTTTACTGGCGCTTTGCTTCCGTCAATAGCGTTCACAAATTGCGATGGGACCCTGTAACTCTCTCGCAGAATCATTACCCTATAAACTTCTCTCGCAGATCATGACACTTTGGATATTTCTCAATAAAGTAATGGATGCAGAAAGCGAGTGCCGAAAACCGAAGCGCTGAAGAGGGGTCGGAACAGCCGCATTTTGCTGCGTACGGGTGCAGGACGTGTGCTTTTGGTACCTACCCATTGGCCAAATCGCCGCAAAAATTACCGACTGGTAGGCTAGGCTAGTCCAACGTGCTAGGTCTAAAGAGGATGGGGTGCTATTGAAGAAAGGGTTGACCACCGAAAATTTACTAGTACTCACTTCATTGTATCTCTCAATCGTTTCTTGGCCAGCCATCGAAGAATACCTCCAGTTACTTGGACCTTGCCTTCGGTGTGCCAAATGCTACTATAACACCTTAGTTGAGGTAAAGTAAGAGACGTAATTAGAAGTTCTAACTATGTATTATATAGTTTCTCAAGCAGTGCGAAATGCTACATATTATACTGCGTATTGCATTATTTCTAGTAAAACGCACCAAGATATTTCTTGATTGAGGTACGGTATTCCTCCGATATTGACTGGGACAAGAGGACCAAGTGAAGCGTTCAAGATCTTTGATAGCCAGTTGAAAATCGCCCGTATTCTCGATGAATAGCACATTGTGGCGGTAGAGCCCGTGCAGGACGAGCATGAAGGTGTTCGATCTGAATATGCTAAGTTGAGGAATTATAATTGGATAAATGCTGTCAGGGTAAGATAAATGATATTAATGCCAACTAATTCCCTTCTCGTTGCTGGTAAAAGCTGTTAGAGGCAGTGGACATGTGGCTGGAGGACGGAGCAATTTCGATGATACCATCGGAACCCGTTGGTGGATCCGATTCTCGGCGCGGTGGGGCTTTTACTTGACACCATTTTCCAACATCCTTCCACCAATGAGGCTCAATGATGCATCAAAACCGCTCCACCCACCAGCCATAGTACACTGCCTTTAAAAGCGGTTTTGTTAGGTTGGAACTTGAATTGAAGTTGCGTAGAGCTCATCCATTCGTCACCATGGCGGCTATATAACCTTTTGGTCCCCAAAACCCTGATTAATGAGGTCATATCGGTGGAAAATGCAACCTTTGGTCTTTGATAAAGTACTGATTATGAGCGGTCTGGTGCACTCGATGCTTGCAAGTTTGTTGCGCCGCAGCAGACTGGCCATAAGATACCTACAGTACAGCTGTGGACCTTCAACCTTCCATTTCAAAGAATGTTCTAATCGGGATCTTTGGACTCTTATATAAACAATTTTAAATGACCTCGAGGGGAAAGCACGCGTCGTTTTCAACCCCAGAGGCCAGCTTCGCACTGTTGCGAAAAGCAGCAAAAATACCACATTCAAGAAATACAAGATAATTCCGGGGGGATTTTTTCGGGAAAAAAAAATGGTTGGGGGGGGGTTCAAACTCCGCGGTAATTCGCTCTATGTACTATCCAGTGCTGTACCGCATCCCCAAAAAGGGATTGATCAACCCGCTAAATTATAAGAAGTATTAGGTGAAACTCCAGTTCGGGGGGGCCACTCCATTTTTTCTCCAATACTCAAGATAAGGATTAGAGGGCTCACGACACGTAATCGACTCATTTAAAGTAGACTTCTGATAAGTATCGGTGTAATGTGGAAGAAACCCTGAGATGATTTCATATTTTCGCCTGCCTGGTCCAAAAAACAGTCCTGGACCAGGAGAAAGGACACCTCCGCAAAGGGCTAAGGGTGCAGGAGCTCCAGGGTGGATCACCTGTGCAGAAAAGTGGATGGGATGTGGGCAGGTAGTGTGGAATGTAGGACATCCACCGGTCCTTATCAAAAGTACGCTCGAAATGAGTCGTTCACTTATTATCTTATCCGTAGTGTTCGATAGCCCAAAGAACTGCTCTCTAGTACTACGGATAAGATAGCAATGGAGTGCCCCCCCCCGAACTGGAGTTTCACACCAGTGATTAAATTTGGGCTCTAATTTCGTAAGCATTAAAAGCCTTGAAGGAAGCTCCAAATTTGAAAAAAAATTTTATGCATAATCAAAATTTATTGGCGAGACCGTAAGTGGAGTCGCCTTGTACAATGGTTCTTCCAACACGAGCGAAAAAAGCATTCAAACGCAAGGGCTCGTGATCACCTGTTATCACTCTGTGAGCGTGATCCTACGTGACTGTTCAGAAAATAAAATATTATATTTATTACATGAGGTATCTCATGTCAGCGGACCCTGCGACTGCGCGGGACTAACGCTAAGAAGAAGAAGAAGAAGAGCATGAGGTATCTCATGTATAACGTCAGAGAGAACGAACGTAACCAAGGAACTAGGAACAATGAATAAATAAAAACATGAAAACTGTGGAAAAGAACACATAAAAATACAAAGGAAGAGTTCCCGAAAAAGGTTTTCCCCCCAAAAATTCAAAGTCGGCTCCCTTGAGATACGACCATGAATGGGACACAGAACCAGAACTCTATAGTGTCCTAATCTATGGCACTACTTTTTGGTAAGAGCAACACTGTACAAGATAGAAATAAAAGCAATTGAGGCATTCCACCCAAACCCCTCGCTTAGGATGTGCGCACGTCATTCCTACTCCGATCATTACGCCGTAGTAGGCATGAATGCCCCTTAGCCCTCGCAGTGATTGTGATGGTCAGCCGCTGTACAAGTCACTTGTTTGTATTCCCTAGATGCATGGTGATAGTGATCCCAAAGGTTTGCGAACGGCGCACGATGTGGTAAGGATGGGGCGAATTTGGGCAAGGTTTTGATCCCGGTATTCGCATCGCTGGGACCCTACAATTTGATGGTGGCGTGCTTGTCATGAAACAAATCACTCAACCCCAAACTACTACCCTCATAAAATGCGTCAAGTGAGATGCTCGATTGAATACGTTCGACAAAAAATACTATAAATTAGAAAAAATACCCGAAGATGGTAGTCTCCATCGGCAACAACGGTCAGGGTTGACTCAACCTTCACATCCGTTACCATAATTTCCGTGAGTTCCACTCTTCCAAGACATCGCTTTTTGTTAATTGTTGGTATCGCGTGGTTCTCCAGTTGAGCTTCATAATCTTCACGAAAGCCACGGATATATGAGGTGATCCCTTTCACCTGGGTCTAGAAATAGAGAATATGAAATGAAATGAAAAAATATTGAAATTTTGTTTCTCAAGAAACCGGCCTTGTGCGATAACTGAAGCCAGCGATATTTGAATGTCGATTTCGTGGTTCATTAATGGCCCCCGAAAAAGCTTGCTTTTTCTCAAATACTTGCTAAGATTTTGCTTTGATTTTTTTCTGATTGAACATTTTTCTTGAGCCCTTAAGACCTCATCCAAGGCTTTAGGCTAGCTAACAATAGTAATAAAAACAATTCAAATAATTTAAGAATTATTTTCTGCTAGGGGAAATGACATTTGCTTCCAATCAATCTGTGGGTTGTCTTTGCGAGAATCTTTTTATAATCAAAAATAAATAAATTGATCGATCAACCATGTAACCAATATTTATCATGGAAAAGAGCAAATATGAAAAAGAAATTAAGAAAAAAAGGAAATGGAAGGATTCTGGTGACAAACGAAGCATGAGCTGAACTTTTGAACTGAATTAACTTACATCTATAACAAGATTATAGGCGACGGTGAGCTGCACCAGTTGCAGGAGCAAGAGCAACGTATGAAGCATGAACTGAATCGATAGATATCAGTGGACAGTTGTCCGTTAGGTGCGATTAACTGCCCTCATGGATCGCATCGCAGTGATGTGGCTCATGAACGGTAGAGGAAAACATGGCGACAGCTTGGTGATTCATGGGAATCTGGTGCTCTTGATGATGCCCGATGCTACGTCCTCATACTCCTGGAATGAGTCATGCCTTAGATTTTGCTCCGATTTTACAAAGACCCTTGAATTCTTTTTATTTAAACCAATTATTTGTAGAGGATAGCCAATCTAACTGTCTATGCTTTTTCTCATGAACACTTGCTGGGAAATGGAAGTTTCCTTATGAAGAAAGAGGATTCTCTGGCGCGTACACAAAGGTCCACCGTAATCCACTTTGATACTAAAAGCGGATCACCTATCGCTTTCTGCCAGCCACCAACCCCAATGGGTTCCAAGAGCTATCCTAAAAGTACCATATCAACATCGGCTGGTACAAGAAGCAGTCTCGTGTGCTATTTCGCTTTGCTTTGTCTTTCCCACGATGTGCTTCGACAGCAGTTGGCCGATCATTCCTCATCTCAGAGAAGGGTGCACAAGAAAACAACAAGTGAGGGCTTGAATCCAGTAAGGTGGAGCTACGTCTTGAGGTAAGTGAACCGGCCCTTTTGGCGTTTCTGGCTGGGCGTATGCTGAAGTTTGGGGAAGATCGGGTCCCCAAAGCTAGGTGGCGTCGGTACTGTTTTTAGCGAGAGTGATCGACGAAGTGTGGCGCTAATCAGCAACTCCGCTCAAGGGGGCTGGTTCGCTATCCCAGGACTAAGTCCTTGGAGAGGCGGGGCGACCTGTCTCTCTCTCAGCAATCCGCCTCCCGTCGGTTTTGAGGCTTAGTTCCTGAGGTAAGCATCAAATTGAGGCGGTTTTAAGGACCGAGTTGAAGTAGTCCGTCGACCGTTCGCGGATCCCATCCCCTCCCCAACATTCAGCATACGGCCCCAGCAGAATCGCCAAAAGGGCTGGTTTGCTTACTTCCTGCGTCTCACCCGCTCCTCCTGCTCGCACCCCCTCACCCTGGTTTTACACGGATATGTTAGGCGGAGTAGCTTACTTCTTAAAGTGGTGGCGTCCAACCAAACAATGCTCTCATGGCAAAAATGCACAACTCGGCAGCTTCCCCGCTTCGATTTATCATAATCTATAGGCATGGCCCTGCTCTCAACGCTAATGCATGGATGTGCAAATGCGATCCCTCTGAATTATTGATCCCATTGTTTTGATCACCCAACCCATGTTGTAAATCATGAACTTTTCCCCTGGTGCGTTTAAAATTTTATTCAGTGTTCAACGTCGTACCCATCGAAATCGTGGAATTGTGTCGGATGCGTGGCGCGTCCCCTGAAGAATGGAGGACACTTTGTACTACCACAACGACACTGAAAAGTGGTAGCGAGCTTTTTCAGATTTCAAGCTGCTAAGCCCTTGAGAGATATCTCAATGCCTGACAGAGCTTAACGATAGTTATTCTTTCCACTATCTATAGGTATTGATGTGGGTCCTACTCTCAGGTGTGGGATACGCAGTGATCTCTCGAATACTCGTGTTTCGATCCAGTTCATTCGTCGTCATCATCGAAATTTATCTCTCATGTATCCAATCATTCGCGACGTCACATCCATTGTCACAACGATTGAACCCGATCGATAGCGCTTCTTCCGTACACGTCACCCAATCGATATTCGATCGATCGGAATGTTGGATTCAGTCTGTCCAATACGGCCAGTTACTGTCTGTGTGAATGCTGTTGGTGCTGTGGTGCGTCGGCGGTCGGATGGTGGTGGTGGAGGGTTGACTTTACAGCGCGCGAGCGCCGCCACCGCCGCCATCAACGCCGGAAGTCCACTGCGACGTGGCCCCCATCACACAGCCGGTTATACCATTCAATAGCCCTCGTTGGGGCATTATTGATCTATTGATCTGATTCGATTCAATCTACAGTTTCTGATCTCGTCCACATCATTTCATCAATTCCTATGAAGCTCAGATATTGTTTTGCTAAAAAATTCCGACGTGCTGATGACGTCACACATTCCACTTCCGGTGTAACACACAACTCTGCTGTGTCTTCCCTCTTAGTCAGTAGTTTGTCGCTATGGAAACCTGTATTTCTGTGAACTATCGCTATTTTCGATGATTTTACCAAGTTATATCACTCCAGAATGGACGTCCGGGTTACGGTATTCTCGACCCGTGAGGTCCATTTAAAAAATTCGCCATCGTGTTAAACTTTCAGATGAGACGCGTGGAACCCAATCGGGTTTTAGGTATTATTGTGATCTCTCCGGAAACTTAAAGCTCAAAATTTTGGATGCATATTCTTGAAGAACATACGGAAGATGACTAGTTAAGAACTCTGCTGCTTCTAGGCGGAAGGTGTTTTGAAAGGATTTACTTGTAATTACCTCCTACTTCTAGCTTGGTAACGCCAAAGAGTAAATTCAAGCAAATACTTTTGACATGCTTCCACGAAAATGCTCCTGACGGATCGACTGGAGACGAATTTTGTTTCATGCTTATGACACAGGATCGTAAAAAGCCTATTGGGATAGTTGGACGTAATAGCGCATCGGAATTGCGACTTTTCCTCAATTGGAAGCAAACGGGTTTCTAGAAAATCGGAATTCCATTTTTGCCCATATATTCCATAAAGCAGCCGAGGTTCGAAAACCCTCACCTTACTTAGAATGAGGGTGAAAATGTGAACGTGTGAGTAGTGAATGGCTCTGAATATGCCATGTAGCTATGCCCTATTTGTGGATCAGAGCCCTCGAGAAATGAACCCCTGTTTCGGCCACTGGTTTGCGCCTTAGGCGTGTCTCACTGGTGCTGAGCTCATCAACGCTAACGCTGTCTTTGCTAGGCGTGCAGAGCTAATCGGAAAGTGGTGGGCGGGGCAGCCCCCCCGGCCCCCCGCGGATAGCGGCGCGGTGCACTCATCTATATCGATGGGGGTACCTTCGCTTGGAATTGCAGTGGGGCCCGCTAAACCTCCAACGTATTTTCCCCATCTTCGACGTCCGAGAACTAATGATGGAATCCTCCTTTCAATAGCGTTAATTGCTTTGTATTCGAAAAGCTCTTATACAGGTGTTTTCCTTCATTGTTAATCTGTAGTTACGGAAACTCTCAAATGCTCACAACTGATAACATATCCATGAGAGGGGGCCTGGTTTCTATAATGAAATATTCTCACTCTTGTGTAAAATACAAAAATATTACGAATAAACGCATTCGAAGAAAGATGCCACAGAAGCTGCTAGCTTGAATGGCGCTGTCTTGAAAAGACACAATCTCAACACGAATCTTCTTTTTTTCGCTCTGGGCCAAAGGAATTCGGTGGCTAATAACCGTCCTCAGTGTCAATCGAACGTGCCGTATTGACGTTTTAAAATAGTCAGGTAACGCCTTCCTACCGTAGCCGGTAACAAGGCCGGTTAAATATGGAATTTGAGAAAAGAACGCGGAAATGCTGAGCGTCCTGTGTTCCGGTCTCAGCTTTTCTAATAATTTTCTATCCGCCCCCACCCCACTCACTCTCTTTCCCCGATGGAATGTAGCAGTCAGAAGAGCAGTTGTGAAGTGCAAGCTCGCGGGGTAACGATCGCATATCAAAAAACTTACTTCGAGAACATTTCCACCCTAAAGGGGCAACAACTACACACTACATTGCTTCTGTAAAAAATTTTTCAGAAATATGATATAAGAGAAGACTGTGATGAAAAAGGATTGCAAGAAAGAACCCCTTTTTCGATTTATATTCCCACGAAAATAGCATTAATTCCTACCTTTAAGGGTGTAAATATGCAAAAGATCATCAGCGCGATTTTCGTAGAGCTTTTTTGAAAGATTTTTATATTTTGAAGGAAATAGCTTTGGGTCCCAGGGCTCAGACTGAAGTACTTTGACGATGGCCGTAACTCCCTAAGCCGCTTTACCAACACCCTTCGGGGTACGCTTAACTTCGTATGAATTGAATATGTAAGTACTCGACTGCAGTATTGGGTTGGTGCATAATATCGTAGCGCTCGCATTCGGCAAAAACGTTCAAAGCAAAACCCAAAAGCAAAGCCAAGCATAAAACTAATCAGTGATGTTCTTCTCGTCATTATATACGACTTTGATCCCATTTCGCGAAAGATTGCCGGGTCCAGAATTTAAAAAAGGGTACTGAGCCCGTTTTCAGAGTCCTCATCATTCTCAATATGTACGACGTAAATATGATTTGTGATTGAGGGTCGATCGGAGTAAGTTTCGATGATGACGATAGATCCCGAAAAACTCCCATTTTGGCAGCTTTTTTTCTTTATATAGATTTTCGCCCACCCTGAGTTTCCAACTTCTAAGCACCATATCTGAGTACATTTACAATATAGAAGAAAATAACAAACAAGGTTTTGTAGAGCGGAAGAAGTACTTTCAAATGATATATGTGATTTCCTTGGTAGTACTTGTATTCACTGAGTTTGTAGCTCGAGAAAAAAACGCTACGTTATTATGCACCAACCCATAATTTATTTTCTACGTCTTGTTTTCTTCATCTGAACTGTGTTCCTAAAACTCGTTCGGGCGACGTGTGTGAAACCTCACAGGTTCTGCAGTTTCGTTGACGTCCTGCATATTTCCGAAAAGAAGATGAATTATATGATGACACAGATAATAGAAGATAAAAACACTGTTTTCCGAGCAACGTTCAGTTTTGATCCTTCAGCAGGCCCTTTTTTCGGCTTTCGTCGGGAAGTTAACTTTTCGATGTTTCTTTATTGTGGGCTTTCCAGTACTAGGCATATTATTTGACCAAACAGCAACAACACAAGCCAATAACCAATTTAATGAATTAACTTCGTGACATTATTTACGTTTCGGAATTTTCGGAAGCAAAAAGAGGCACATTGAAAATATGAAAATATTTAAAATATTGAAAATATTCCGAAAAAATAGAAAATAAAACGTGAATCGCTACGATGTAT